GCAATCCTATTTGGATCCTTTTACAGTGAACTTGTCTTTCCTCGCTCCCCACTTGCAGCCTCGGCCCATTCCCCTCCCTGTAGCTAGTCTGCCGGTCGGCTGACCCACGCTTATCCATGCCCACAGCCGAGAGACTTGCTTTTCTCCATTTCTGCTTTCAAAACAGTCATCGCCACATGCTGCAAAGCTTCCTGTCTTCTGTTCGAGTCCGGTTCTTTGTACCACACCTGTCGTTATGATCGTGTTTGATTGCCTTTCTGTTCAGATGTATCGAGGAGAGCTTTGCTTGTGATGCCCTGCAGGTAGGATGCTGTCTGTACTCTCGCAGCTGCAAGCCCGAGCCCCGTTTCAATGAGAAAAGGACAGAGCCCCCAATCCATTTAACAGCCTTTCCCATCAGTGTGTTTCTCAACGGTCACAGGTTCACTTTTGCAGAGCACAGATGCTACAGGGGAGGTCGGGAACGAGCTTTCGAGGCACGTTGTTAAGCTGAGAACTGCAGGAGCTTGGCCACCCGTGGCTCGGGAAGGACTGTGGGCCCGGTCACGCCCTTGAGTGGAAGGGCAATCCGTCCCCTCGGTGGCAATGACCCTCTTTTATGAGTTACGAGGACTGGGTGAGAGCCCTTTTGAGGTCCTGTGGATACGTGGCATGGCTTGGCACGTACGTTTGGCTTTGGTGGAAAGATGGGTCGTCTCTAGAGGGTGTCTATCACACAGGAGCTACCGGCTCTGCTGGAGACATGATACCTGGGAGCGTGGGAGCCCTGGAGGGTAGGTCCTGCAGGTGAGCAGGGCATCCTCCTCTTCACCTAGGATTAGTTCATGTCCCTGCAGATCTGGTTTATGGTCTGAAGAAAACAGCACGCCCCTGGCACCTTGGCAGCCGTCAGGATGGCGGCCATCACACTAACTCCCCTCTGGGATGGAAACGTCCCAGGAGGAGCCAAGCAAAGACCTTGGCATTGGGGCATCGCAGGGCTGTTTGCATGGAAATTCCTGCCCAGAGGACAGTCCCAGGCACGGACCCCTCTGTGAAATACGAAACACCGTAACCAGGAGGAAATCTGAATACATCCTGCTTACTAACAAACAGCTTCGAGGTAAAGAGACTGTTCCAACTTTTCTCTGAGCCGAATCCGCATATGAAACGCACTTCTCCAAACAGATTTTACCACCTTCAAATCTCCTGTGAAACGCGAACTTTCATCTCTGCCCAGGAGAACTGGTACAGTCTTTCTCCGATGCCTGATGAAGGGTGCTTGCGCCTGAAAGCTTGCAATTAAAGACATTTATTTGTTTTGTGCAAAAATCTAGTTGGTCTAATAAAAGATATCACCTCTACCACGAGTCCTGATTGCATTCGAAGCATTTCTAAGGCAGCCATCCCATTATTACTTGGGTGCCCTTTTTATGATGGATTTTTTTTTCCCCCCGGAGGTCGTTATTCAGCGCTTACCCAGGCAGATTTTCAGCGAGCAGTTTTCGCTGATAAGGAGACAGAAACTTGGCTCTTAATTAAGAGAGCGAGAAAGGACTCTCGTTCCTCATTTGCATTAACCTGCTGTGCGCGGGCTCTGCTCCCCGGCCTGTTTCTCCTGCTCTGAGGCTTGCTGTCTCGTGAGCTGTGCTGAGCTGCTGTTTTAAATGTGCAGGGCACAAGAGGAGCCTGTCAGGCAGGGTCCTACGATAGCTCAGTGCCTCTTTGCATTCAACGGTGCCAATGCCCTCGGTAAATCAGCGTTCGCCTAATATCGCTCCCGCAGAATTGCATGCTTCCCTATGGCTGCATAATGCTGCTGCAGCAGATGCTCCGGGCATATGCGGCATTGTTATCGGGGCCTGATTAGAAAGCTGCGAGCGCTTTTGGTCACTCCATTACCGCATTTTGAAAGGGCATGATGTCCTGTGGAGAGTTACAGCAGCCCTAATAACTGCAGCCGAGGTTTTCAATCTGATGAAAGCCCTCGTGTGCGAGAGCAGGTTAAAACTTGCGTTTCTACAATGCGCAGAGACACGGTGGGTGGATTAAGACCTCTGTTACCGGAGACAGGATTCAGGCCCAGATCCACAAGCGGCATTTGCAGAAGAGGGTGTTTGGCAAACCGGCCCCTTTTTATTGAAGTGAAACCCAAACCCCAGACCCAAAATCTAGAGGGAAGTTTGAACATGAAACAGCTCCCTTTGTATTTGCTTCTTGGCTTCTGCTTTCTGCATAAGGTCTCCAGCACATTATAGCTATAAGCATCTGTTTGTATCCGATGCTTGGACGTCACCCTCGTGTGCTGGGAATCCAGCTAATCCAGTGCCAAAGTGGCTTTTTATAAACCTCAGACGTCTCTGTGCAAGTGTAGTAAAGTCTTTCCACGTCCCTTTTGTGCCCTGGGGTTTGCCTGTAAAGGCTCATAGCAATTATGGCAGGAGCCTTGTGACCCTGGTTAGACAGCAGGGCCAGAGAAGACTTCTTGCTTCACCCCGTCTCGCCCCGGCCCCCAGCGTTTAGGGCATCACGCACAACCTCGCTCCCGTGGTCGGACGGCTGCAGCGACAGAGCGATCGCTGCCCCTCGGGAGTCTGCTCCACCGCTAAATTGCTGCTTCCGTCACGAGCTATTCTTAACAGCTAATCTCCACCAGCTTTCTCCCGCTGCGTCTTGTCCTGCGTCTTGCAGAGAGGGGCAGGATGCCCTCTTGTCGTTTTTATTTCACTCTCAAAGATATTTATAGTCTCTGACCCTGTCAGCCCCGCTCCTTTTCTACAGAACAGTTAGTATCGCTCCTCCGTCATCTTCTTTCGGGGACAGAAATTGCTATTCTGTGCGCGTGCTTACGCTCTGCCCTTCGCCGGGGTCCCTGATGGCAGCGAGACCCTCGGAGTGGGATGAGCGACTGCAAAAGGGTGTGATTATATACATTAGTGTCTCGGATGGAGATTCAGCAGG